GTGAACTTTTCACGATAAAATTCACGATATCGTCAATTTCATCGTGAAAAGTTCACGATAAAGTTCACGATATCATCAATTTCGTGAATTTCTTCGTGAAAAATATGCGATAAAATTGACGATATCGTGAATTTTATCGCATATTTTTCACGATTTAGTCTATTCGCGATGTCCCTTCAGGGCCACCATACTGATCCATGAAAATCTCTGGCAAGATACATATGCCACATTCTACACAGGTGTCCTACATGGGAATTGGTAGGGAATTGTTTTCAGCGCCTTAGGGCAGCTGGGTTTAAAAGCCAAGGTCATTTGTAGGCGCCTCGTATAAGTTGAGCATCCTTTCGAATGCATACGTGCGCAATATAAAAGTACCTATGAATGTTATTATCATCATTGATATTAATTCAGGATTATCATTATCATTTATCATCGACCTATTTAAAGTGGTACACTCCTTTGATATTAACCACGTATCGATGTTTATTTCACTCACTTGTAGAAAAACAAAACACAGGTAGTTTCGTTATTGAAGGCTAAAAAAGAGTGTCTGTAAATGTTGATACCATCTGTTTTTCATTGGTAAAAACGTTATTTGAAGAGGATATAGAATGGGACCTTATCCCCTGTCTGCGGAAACAGAGTGGCAAGGTATGAACTGCACTTCACATGTTCATTGCTTCACCTTAAAGATAAACTTGAGTTCTGGTAAAAAACAAGAAAATGAATTCTCACAGAATCAAACGAAACTTACACTGAATGTTCATGATTACAAATAAATGTCATTTGCCAAAAAATTTTGGTAGAAAATGTATACCGGCTGAGTAATGAGCATAGAATGATAAGGAAATCAAAGTAGGTAGGCCCGACGCCATTTGTATAGTCCCATATCCATCTTTCTGTGTATAGTGCTTGATACTTAACCAAGACTCTTCTATTTTATTATGATTTTGACGACTCCAGAACCTTGCAGTACAAACCAATACTTACATGCTACATGATCAACTTTTTCTGATCCATTCTACCCCTTTTCTTTCACAATGCAATCGCATTACCAGATCACAACTTTATCTTTAACCGATCACTGACAGGGCGGGCAAACAGAAACGTCTGCTTTATATGTACCAGTTTGACTTTCATTCTTTTAATTCATTCAGTACTAAAAGAAAATAATGTACATTACATTTCAGCTAGACAATAACGATATATGCTGCTTGTAAGTATCGGCTTGTCGTTCGTCTATGTCTGATCGTCAACGTAACGGAGTTAAGTCTTTTGTCAATTCCGTTTGTTAATGCTACGGCAGGCAGCCAGTGAAAACGAATTCGTTCAATCAAATTATGAAAATGCAAGCATCACTTTAAACAAACAGAACTTTCTTATTCCCGGCTCATTTTTCCTGATTGAGGTGTCATATGAAAGAGCAGAAAATGAATTTTCTAGAAATGTGAATTTTTCTTCGAAGTTCAGATACCGCCCGCCAAATGACTTTTTTGTTACCTTCCTTCAAATTGCTTTTAATCACTCATGCGTTGCCTCAAATGAAAGAGGAGGATCTAAGCTTTACAAATATGTGTCATTTATTAATTATGATTGTGATTAAGTTATGATAAAACATCGATAATTCAATATGCATGACTATGATTTATTTCATTAAATTTGCTAACTACAGTCTATTCTCATTGCCCTTTTCTCGCACAAAACGCGATTTTGACATTAAAGATAAACTTTAGTACTGGTAATGCGATTGCATTGTGAAAGAAAAGGTGTGGAAAGGATCAGAAACAGTTGATCATGTAGCATGTAAGTATTGGTGTGCACTGCAAGGTTCTGGAGTCATCAAAATCATAATAAATTTGACCGAGTCTTGGTAAAGTAACAAGCACTCACATAGAAAGCTATATATGGGACAACACACATGGTGTCGGGGCTAGTACTACCTTTATTTCCTTGTCTTTCTATGCTCATTACTCAGCCAGTATACATTTTCTTCCAAAATTGTTTAGCACATGTCATTTATTTGTAATCTTGAACATTCAGTATAAGTTTCGTTTGATTCTGTGAGAATTTTTTTTTTTTTACCAGTACTGGAGTTTATCTTTAACCCATACAGTTGCCTGTAAACATTGTGAAACTGATTTCAATGGGTGCTTGCTTAATTATAGAGTGAATTTTTTTAATATTTTTTTTAAAGACTTCAAACAAGGATATATCACAGCAGGCCACCTGTTTATAATATATTGTCTTTTGTGGGTACGCGGTTTTCCCCTCTTTATCTCACTTTCCGGTAAACAGAACCACAATGTGCACTCTTTGAAAGTGTAAAAGAAAAGTAAAGGGGAACATGAACAGGTCACGTGATATCGCGTTGATTATTCCTAAAGGAATAACTAGAAATCACGATTCACCTACGATTATTACACCACAAAAGCCACTGGGTGAATTTAACACTACTTCCTATGTGGTCAAATAAGTGTTAGACGAACACCGGCATTGTATCTAACTTGTGTAATTCCGTAGTTACATTGCAAAAGGTCTTTGTAATAGCAACGCAATGAACCCCACACTAAAAAAAAACAAATTGAACTAAATCAGTCAAATTCGACACCATGTTTTGATCAATATCGTAGAGGTCTTACAGTGCACCCTCCCCCCCCCCCCCCCCCCCCTCCCTTAACGTAAAAAGAAACTCCTGGGACTACTATTCTGGAGGAAAACTAGCCTTATATGATTAACCCGGTCAATTATCTCCTAGAACAATAACCTCCGGGACATCTATATCCTTGTAACTACTCAGTAGGACAATTATCCATTTGGAAAACCATCTGTAATAGGAAAACTCCCCGGATAATTCCCCCTGGAACTATGACCCCGTAATACCTGCCACTACTCCACTACGGACAAACGAGTACAAGCAGCTGAATGGTTGAATCTATGTTTTTCTCCGGGCAAATGAAGGGCTAGTAGAATGACGGTTCTGTGAGGAGCAAAGTTTGAAATGTAGACTATGATTCCCTTGAAATATTGCTGTGGGAAATAATGACACTGGTACGTTATTTTAGAAATGTATTAATTTACATTATTAAAAGATTAGTACATAAAAAAAAGAAATTTCAATATTTCAATTATCAAGAATCTGTATCCATGCATGCATGTATGATACGGATCTAATAATATAATTTAACTATAAAGGTGTAAACAATTGAAGAAAGTAGGTTAACTTATATAGTTTGATTCGGAAAGGGATGTTTAAGTGTAGACATAACCGTTAGAATGTTTATTCTAACACCATAACTGAAGAGGAATGGGTAATAACCGCCTTCCTATTTCCTCTCGATTATTGTCTGACGAAATCAAGATCATAAAGAACGTCTTTCATTCCCGTCGCATACGAGGCGTCAATACCATTACGTCATTACCTGCGCTAACCAGAGCCCCGTCTTATAAAGAGTTGCGATTGATCTAAACCAGCCGCAGACCTGTTTGCAGTCCCTTGCTCTTATGTATTAGTTGCAATTGAAAGCAATCCCAAGTAAGTTGCAATTAATCGTATGTCTTTAAGAGACATTGCCTATTGATAGTGGTGGTTATTTTACCTGACAGCTAAGAAAGCAATAAATGCTTGTTAGTAAGCAATGAGAAGACCGACAGCTTTAGGTCCTCTCTGAGGGACCTGGTAATGAGAATTAATGCCTATATACCGGTAGGTATGTGAAGTGCATGCGCGTTATTTTATTTCAACGCAGTGTTTGCCCTGTTCATTTTAATTCACGTACTTGTATAACTTTGTCATTTGTCCTCACTAGGATTGAGGGTCAAAGGTAACGCTAATCATGGGCGTAGTTTTACGTCAGTCGATAGCCCCCATGTGCAACGGGCATTAACGTCCCTTGCGCATGGGGCGTCGTTGTCGTTTATATTGCGTTTTTACCATTGTTATATAAAGATTTGTGACCAAAATGAGTGCAAGCGCAGGTTAACCAAGTAAAAGCCCGCCCCCCCCCCCCCCCCACTCAGTGTTATTTAGGGTACGCGTATGCTTGTTCCCTCTTTTTGAGGGAGCACCCCTTATCTGAGCACTGCCAACATTTCCGAACCCCCTTTCGCGGGCTTTTCCTGCCTTGGAGACCCCCCCCCCCCTAAATCCGGAAAAAATGCTCAATGTACCCCCCTAAATTCGGAATAATTCCTCAGGATTCTCAGGATATGAGAAAAAAAAAAAGAAAAAAAAAAACCTTTTTAAAGAAAACTCCGGGTGAAAAGTCAAATGCACCCCCTTTTTTTACAATTCTCGGGCCGGACTTTGTCGCACGAAAAGTAACCCTTTACCGGACATTTTGGTAACACGCATGGTATCTCTCCGTCTCGGAGTGGGGGGAGGGGGGGGGGGCGGGAGTAAAAGTTTGCACCATTCTCATGCTTCTTCTTTGTTTGTGTACGATGTCACTCTCACAAAGGTCAAACGTCAGAGGTCACGTCAGTGACTAACACAGTCCTACACAATCAAATGATACCGCTACAGTGACTGACGCATAGAGGGCATAAGTGAGGCCGATGCATGTATTGCCTATCCCCTTCCCTTTTTAATGGGCCATTTTCGTAATGTAATCAAATTTAATGCACACAACTTTTTTAAGCGCCTCGTTACACATTATTACGTCCACCTATTACGAATGATTGTATTTCAGTTGTCAAAATGCGAATTGCATAAATGAATTGTTACTAATATAGGTACATGTAGGAACAACATAATGACTCATTCCAAAAATCGGATTGTAGTCAGGTCGAACAGTGAGCGGTAATTCTTGTGTAACTTGCAGTAATGAAATCAATTATATTTGCAATAGTAGACTTTCAATTAAAGATATTGGCATCTCATAATTTCCGGGATAGTTGAGGTATTGAGGGAAAATAAATCTGTAACATTTATTGTGTCATGTGAATAAGATGGAATACTTTTTTATTTACATTTTTTCTGATGTTAACATTTTTTCTCCTAGCCGAAAGCCATGGATTTTACTACTGCAGTTTTGACGAAGAGGTCAACCCGACGTGTGGCTGGAATCTGGACATTGCAAATAGTGACCATCCATGGGTCTTAAAGTATGGACGCTCCCCTCAACCTCGAACTGGTCCACCTTCTGACCGATCTGGAAGTACGTATGAAAGCGCTCCTCACCCCCTGCCCTTTTCACTGTTTCCTCTTCCGTATCTTAATTTTGGTTCATTGAAACTACAACAAATATTTGTATATAATAGTGTGTCGTATTAGATGTTCTCTTTATGTTCCCTTGGTTGGTGAGCATTTAAAATTAGAGTCTCGTGTAAGTGTTTAAAGATGATAATTTAAAAAAATCATTCTATTATCACCTCTTTCCTTTCGTTCTATTTCCTTTCTCTTGTCCTTAATTTCTTTATACGCACCGTACGTGAGCGGGTTCTGTTGACACAATACAAATTATATTAACAACCTTTTTAGTAAGGTTACCACATGGTGTTACCGAAGCCTCTTATAGTGACTACGTCATATGTTAATAGATTTTCTTCAGAACGTCTTCAGCAAAACTTTGAAACAATGAGATAATTGGGTATAATAGCGGACTACAACCGGCCCATGCCCCATTTTGAAACCGATGGCATAAGTACACAAACTCACTGCCAAAGCAATCGGCATCGGAAATGTCAGAAGCGACAATCCTCAATGAAGTGAAGCGCTCCTGTGTTTAGCCTAAACCATAGCGGAAGGAAGTGACACACGGGGAAAAACGCAATGATCATTATCATAATAGCGACCTGGGTGAACCAAATAGAGTCACTTTGGTTTAATGGTTTTAGCTGCGCTGCTATCACAAAGACTTTTGAACCCAAAATGTGTCCTTGTAATGAATAATTTTTTCCTATCTGTATAGTGATAACAAAATACCTATTAGGGTTATCTGTATTTAATACAGATAACCCTAATAGGTATTTATTCGGATAGTTGATATCAACAATTCTTAACCTCCCTATTTTTAGTCGGATTTTAATCAAACTTTCACTAACATGTTTTCCTCAATGTGGTCTTATCTGGTATGTGACTTCTTTGCTGAATGTAATAACCTGTGTGGTGAATGACATGTATACATTACATGCTTCTTGGTCACTGATGTCAAGCCGGGGGAAACGGCAATATCTGTTATTACATAACCCTCCTCGACGATGGTTATTTGACATCAAACGGCACATCAAGAAATTAAGTAGCCGTAGTAATAGGAAGTAGGTTGTTCATTTTTAAATATTTATCTCCATTTTATAATAACCTTAGACGGGAAGTACCTGCTGGCACAGTCGTCCACCGTCGGTCCAAATTTAGAGCTCCTACCAGTTGGGCGTGGTCAGCGGTTCCGCCTCTCCAGCCCCTCCCTCGACACGGCCAACCGGCGTCTCCTCCTCCGCTTCCACTACTACATGTGGGGCAAGCACATCGGTGTTCTGAACGCCTTCGTGGTGGTGAGGGGTGAAAGGAAGAGCCCCAAACCAATATGGCGGCAGACCGGACCTCAGCAGGATATGTGGTTGGTCGGAGAGATCAGGTTGCCTGTTAATTCTACAGTAAAGGTAACATTTTGAGTTCATTATTTTATTTATTTTTGTCATTTCATTTCGAATTAAGTACTTTTCTTCAATTTCCTCTCATGCTGTTTTATTCTATTTCATTTCAATATATTTCGTTTCATTGTATGTCATGCTATTTTATTAAGTTTTATTTCGTTCAGACATACTACATACAGCGAACGCCAATTTACATTTTTAGTTTCCTTTGAAATTTAGAGAAAAGAATCAAAAATCCTTACGTGACGATTGACGATGATATTAATTAAGTCAATTGTACTATTCATACGGTGAGGGAAATAAGAATATATACCATGGCACGCCGAGAAATCATCTACTAGGACAGCAAATTGGAGAGATGATAATCTTGTTTTCATATACCTGTTTTTCTCTGCTTCAGGTCATCTTCGAGATGGTTAGCGGCAGAGGTTTAATGGGTGACGTTGCGATTGACGATATTTCTGTTTTAGGTAAGCAATCTACTTTTTCAATTTTACTGCTTTTCTCAAATCTAAATCAAATAATCTACAGGAAAAAAAATGAATTCTTAACAGAATGAAGAATGGTCCGGAAAGAGAATGCGCTCATTGAAATGTCGGACAAGCTGATATTTGGGCTCATATGTTCCATACTCTGTTCGTTTGTACAACCAAACGAAGTGTTGAGCATGTGGGCCCAAGTATCGGCTTGGCATGGTTTTCCTTCCTTCCTTCATACTAATGTTTTATCCTGTTCGTCATCTTCGATGTGTAATACTACTAGAATATAAGAATATTTCTATTTTGTCTACCCTCTATTTTGATAGTTCTTTCATGATTATTATAAACGATATAGTTTCTCATATATATATTACGTATTTCTTACAATGTGTGACCAAAACAAATTTCCATGAATTCTCGTGGATTTGGATATATAAAAGAATTGAATTGAATTGAATTGAATTCTCCATAGAGCATTTTGGGGTAATAAAACAAGTACTGTTCAGTGACCCCAAACGTTTGATATGTAATGACCAGCCCCCTCCCCTCTCCGCCAACAAAAATAAATCGGTACATATCCTTAATTCTATCTAATTTCTTATTTCAGAATACGTGGTAGATTGCACCTTTGAGGATACCGTCTTCAGTAAAGACTGTAACTTCACTCAGGAGGGAAGCGAGAATTTGAGCTGGAGTGTGAACAGCGGGAAGACCCCCACCAAACGGACCGGCCCAACCCGGGACCATACACTCCAAAACTCCAAAGGTATGTTCACTACCCTTATTTTGGGAATGCCCCTAAACGCGTCGATTCTTAGAAGACTTTGACAAATATAACATGAAAATGAATTTTAATTTAACATTTAATAATTTCATCTTTGGCATCCCAGGCGGAAATTATTCCTCTTTAAATTTTGTTATTTCGAATGCAAAATGTAATATATGTTTAACTAAATGACAAAATCTTGTTTTTCATGGTTCCTTTCTTTGTCAAACGTATGTATCCATCATTTGATATATTTGCTTATACTGTTGTGTGCTTTGAGAAAATTTGAATAAAATGCATGATCCCTATGTACCAGTTACAGTAAAATTAATATACAATTACAATATAAATAGAGCCTTGTGCAGGCCATAGCGGTTTCATGTTACGTTTCATTGATTTCAGGAAAATATGTTATCTTAGAAGGAAAGGCATATATATAAAAAAAAAAAAGCGGTTTAAATTCGATTATATTAAACCAATGAAATATATTAACTTGAATCTTTGTTCGTAAGCTTTAATTAGGTTAAAACAAATTAATTAGATTAAAATGATCGAAATAATTTAATTTTTAATATTAACTACTTTCATAGTATTGGGGTAAATTGAATTTGAATTAACAAAAAGAATGTAAAAATTCAAGTGGAATATGTATCAAATCGACGGAAATAGGACTGCCAAAAGGAACCAATGAGATCAGACTGAATCGGGTATGAAAAAAAATCGACCTGATAGAAGTGCATTAAAATGGTGTGTTGCTAGTTTTAAGTGGTTTTAATTTCCTCACACCGTAGGGACGTACATGTACCTGGAAGCAACGACCAGGACACCGGGACAAGCTGCCCTCATCAGCCCCGTCTACATCAAGGACGCCGGCCCGGCCTGCAATGTCTCCTTTTTCTATCATATGTACGGCGACCACATAGGGTTTCTTAAAGCTTACGTGAAGACGTCGCCGAACTCGACCGACCTCGGCACGCTGCTATGGCAGAAACAAGGCGAGCAGGAGAAAGAATGGTTGGAGGGCGTCACCAACGTTGACAGATTTGGAGGACGTTATCAGGTAATGACATTGATCATTCATAATTATCTTTCTCCTTTAAACATCAATGAAATTTGTACGATCTGACCCTTTGTGGTTGTTGTTGTCCTATTGTTACGTCAGAATTCTGTAACAAATGTAAAAAAAACAGTCAAATTAATTAAACAAATACAAAAAATAAGTAGATAACTAAAGTTAACTTATATTGCAGATGCTTCAGGGGACCAGGGAGGTGAGCTCCCTGGGGGACTTAACAGAGTAACGATTACATTGCTGTATGTATATTTATGTGTGAGTCTACTTGAGGTACGCCAGAGTGGCATTATTTTGGTGAGGGGGCAGTTTCCCGTGCCTCCTGGATCCACCGATCATTTGAAAATCCTACTAGACTGTAACTTGCTTTTATTCTCCATACAGATAGTACTGGAAGGGGTACGAGGCCGTGGAACGTTTGGCGATATTGCCATTGATGACTTCAAACTGATAGGACCCGGATGCCTCAACCAAGATTATTATGATATGAGTAAGTGATGAATCCGGTGCATGAATTTATTGTTTCTTGGTTTATTTGGGGTTTTATACTTGTTATATATATCTGTTTGACTTTTGTTATAATATATTTTGTGTATTAATTCTGTTTTGTTTTGTATTCCTTTATTTGTATATGTTATCATAGAGCTCATTCATTGTTTCGATACCCCCCCCCCCCTTTTGAAAAGAATGATATTAGATGTGCTTGGTTTTTAGTTGTTAGATAGGCTTACAATTCTGCTATGAAGACTGTATACGTGAACTATGAAGCAAAGAAAGAGGTTGACAAAATTACATATCTGGCCAGAATGTTTTCCTCTGGGCATGGATTAAAAGTTAAGATTGCTGTGCAGTTTGCTTACGTTCGCACAGACAGAATCATTGTCTGACAGTTAAAATATCTGGCAAATATGAGTAGATACTTAACAAGATTAATTCCTGTTTCCTTTCCTGCTACAAAAAGGATACTTTGATACAGTGATACAGTGATTGGCTGTGGGGTTGTTCCATTCTTTAATACTTTCACAAATTGACCACCAAAAAGGCACTGCCCGGATTTGAACCGGGGATCTCCTGTTTACTAGACAGGCGCTTTACCAACTAAGCCACAGCGCCGCACACGATAAACATTATCATTTTGAATCAAAGTCCACTATTGTTTTACTAGGCTCTCTCCACAATGTTCATTTTGAAGCTCAGTTCAACGACGTCTATGAAAAAGGTTGTAATGTAAAGACATTTCTATGCACGAGCTTTTCTTTTCGTTTTTTTTTTCAAATCTTTCCTGTATGACTATATATCAATAATTTATTTTGTTTTCCATGCATATAGGCCTCGGAACCTAAACAATTGAATTAAAAATTATATCAGGCATGAGAGCATGTAATACACCAAACATCTGTTGCAATTACCTAAATGGTTTAGAGATCACTCAATATTTGTACAATATTTGGTAAACCAACAGACGTCCCTCTTGTTTGTGTGTATACATGATTGTGCTGGGTTATTCTGTATAATCAATGCGTGTATATCATTCTACGTTTTGCTCCAAGCACTCCAATCTCCCTCTCTCCTTCTCTCCTTCTCTCTCTCTCTCGCTCTTTCTCTCTCTCTCTCTTCCTCTCTCTCTCTCTCTCTCTCTCTCTCTCTCTTAATCTCAATCTCTTTCACTTTCGTTCGACGAATCACTATACATTTTCCTTTTCACTAGTATGGTGGTGGAATCTCTTTTTCGGGCCTAACACATTAACCCTTTTGTGTGGGAAGAAAAAAAATTACCGTGAAAATACAATATTACAAAAAGGCACTGCCCGGACTTGAACCGGGGATCTCCTGTTTACTAGACAGGCGCTTTACCAACTAAGCCACAGCGCCGTACATGTTAACTTGATTTAGATTCCAATCAAATAAAATTATGACATAAAAGACAGCAACAATCGAATGATAAAAATAAGTCCCACCTATCCGCTAATGATAATTATGTCTATATTCACATTTAAACTTAGGTCTTTTTTATTTATTAAAACAAAAATGATTGAGGCCTGAAGATATAACGTAATACTCAGCCACAATGTATTCGATTTCTTCTGTGAAATTTTCATACTTTACGTATTTGGAGACGCATAACAATGGCGTGCCTTAAGCTTGTACGTTGAGTGATACCTGTAGAATTCAGTATAATCATTGATGTAAGATCTCAATATCGGGCTCATCTGACACATGGAAAATTAGAACAGAAGCCATAATAAGCAGAAGCTTTTTACGTTTAATAAACAGGAAAATGATTTTGCACTGTCGGCGTACTCATGGGCACATCAATGGACACACCCGAAGAGAATAAAACTATCCGGGATGTGTACTTCGAAAGTGATTGCAAAGACCTTCAAGAAATCAGCTATAGACAATTTCGATGGCCTTGTCCATCAACTTTTGGAATGTGCGAACCATTACAATGACATGAATGATCGGGAGGTCCTGGGTTCGAAACCAAGTCAATGTGATTGTGCCCTTTGGTAAGGAATCTACCCTCATGACCAAGTCCCTCTGAGAGTACTTAATACCCCCTTCACATACAATGATTTTTCTTACGAGTCCTTATGGATCACCAACTCGTAGTCAATCGCAAGCATCCGTAAATAACTCGCTGGTATCCGTAAATAACTCGTCACAACTCGCAACAACTCGCAGACACTGTTAAGGATCCGTGTAAGGATAGGCATATTTCGCGATGATGCCTAACTGATTTGTAATATTTTTTTCTTCATAGTATGATTTTCTGATTTTTATAAACTTTTCATTTAGACCGTCCGGATTTATGTGCCGATCAGCCATGTCGAGGCCATGGCGTATGCACAAATACGCTGGATGGATACTTCACATGCAACTGTTCCGCCAACTGGACAGGTCAAATTTGTGATACTGGTAAGCTTGCTCTCTTTCCCTCTCTCTATCTTGCTCTCTCGTTACATCTGTCTATCACTCTCTCTCTCTCTCTCTCTCCCTGTCTTTCTCTCTCTTTCTCTCTTTCTTTTTCTCAAATTCTCTCTCTCTATCTGTCTGTCTCTCTCTTCCAAACTTCATTATACTACCTTATCTACCTATCTATCTGCCTCTTTTTCGCCCCTCTCCTTCTTTCTTCCTCTATCTCATCTTCTCTCTCCATATTTTTTAGTCTTCTGCTTCCCCCTTTCTCACACTCCCAACTTTTATTTGTCACTTCAATTGCCTCTATGAAAATATTATTTTAATTTTTCTGGATTTTTCTCGAGAATATGAATAGTTTATGTATATCAATAATTGCAGGCTAATCTCCCTCTCTCTCTCTCTCTCTCTCTCTCTCTCACTTTCTCTCTCTCCCTCTCCCTCAATCTTTCTATATATCTATCTGTCTATCTATTTCTCTTTCAGAGGTAAAACCAGGTGCATGCTCCAGCAGCCCTTGCTTGAACGAAGGGCAATGTGTCGTCGTCAATTATACCGGCGACGCCAGCAAGACAGGGGGAATACAGCCCCCTCCCCCGTTCTCCCCCGACGTGACTCCGGGACAGAACATGACGCCTCCCATCGGGAACCAATCTGTAGCGTTCGGGAATCAGACGGTACCTAGCGGGAACTGGTCGATGTCCGGCGGTAACGAAACGATTACTAGCGGCAACTGGTCAAATCCGGTTAGAACCAAGGTTGAAGCGGTTACAGCGTTTACGTGCGTCTGCATGAGTGGTTGGAGTGGGTCGCTTTGCGATAAAGGTAAACGTTCATTACAGTTCAATCCAGTTCAGTTCAGGTCATTTAAAACAAATTCCGTTCGATTGAGCTCCATTCATTTTGTTCTGTTCTTTCTTTAATAATATTGCTTCTCCAAATATTTTCATATAAGTTTCACATTATTTGTCAAGCCCTATATCTGGTCTGATCCGATCATAAGTTTACGAGTGACCACGGCCGGGTTTCAATCTCTGTTTGCATTCTTACAGTTGACGTGACGTTTGATCCATGTCTGAACAACCCCTGCGCACATGGAGGAACCTGCCGGCTGAATGGCAGTCAGTACACATGTGAATGCCCCCCTCAATGGAGAGGTGTCAATTGCGAAGACGGTAAGAATTAAATGACGACATTTTTTCCTCTAAGAATGACGAGAAAGATTGAGATTAACGTCGTCCTTGTCCTACTTTTATTCTAACTTAAATTGAGAAATATAACTTGAATGAAAAATTGGTCGTAAACTAGTACATTCAAGAATAGAATAAGCAATTTCTCAATTTAACTAGTTTTTTTCTTCAAAAGCCATCATTATTTGTTGTTAGGATCCACATATTTCAATAATCTAAATAAAGTTGTACAAAAGCATTACGGATGGATAAGTCTTATTATGCAATAATGAGATGCCATATTCGATATTTCGTGATTTCTTCAACTGAAAAGTATAAATTCAGACAGGGGAACATAAATCGATCAAGAATTGGAGCTCCCAAAGTCTCAAGAAGGCAGCCCAGCGTGTGGTAGACCCACTATAAATTCGGATAGTTTTATTTGTCCAAGTTTGCTTGTGTGGGGGAGTCTTTGCCAGCTCCGTCATAAAGACCAGTCCGTAGTTAGCACATGGTACAAATGACCTCAAAGATCTTTTACACCTGGAGTAATCCCGCTTTTGTATTATGTTTCGCCCTCTCAAGGAGAACACACCCTACGGTGATCCATACAATATACCGTCGGTGCATAAATGAGTAATGATAACATAACTTCCATGAGTGCGTATCCAGTATTCGTCTGGGTGGGTGTTCCAGTTTTTAAACAAATGAATTTTAACTACGCATGCGCAGACTGTATATACCAACTGGCCCATTGTGGATTCATTTCTGGTATAGCTTTGGGATACGTCGTAAAAGTTACAGAAGACTTTATAATGTCCGACATTCATGCCTTAGATTTTAACGAGTGCGACGTCAGCGCAAACCAAACCAACCCCTGTGAAAACGGTGGTACGTGCATCAATGACGTGGAAGGGTTTAACTGTACCTGTCCCGACGGTTACTCCGGGGACAACTGCGAGATCGGTAAGGGGTGCTGGGTTTTATTTTATGGCAGACACTCAGTGCCATAAAGCTTGATCCATACAAAATATTGATCTTTATGGTATCAAAGGCCTGCCATACATGTAATCCCCCATGCCCTCATTGGTTATGATCATGCAGCATCACCAAAAACATGGCAACAGCATGAAGGCACAGCAACCCACCGCGTTGTTTTCTTCTCTCTTTATTGCTTCATCTTGTGTATTTCGTCATAGCACGATTCGGCTGGTTTTCATTGCTTGATTGATTATATTTTACTCGATTGATTACATTTGCTCAAGAATTCCTTTTATCTTAGCACGTTGCTTCAATTAATCTTTCTTTTTTTTCATCTGCTTTGTATAACCATTCAATTGCGGTTACCAATGCTTTGATCACTTTGCATATTTTATAAAAAATTCATCATTAACGCTTTTTATCCTCATTGATTAATTAAGGACATGCGTAGTGACCATTTTGGTTCTATTTATTGATTGCTTGTTTTTTAATATTTGGAATGGTCAATGGCTGCTACTTGCAATATAGGAGTTACGGAATTATGCCAAAGGTCCACTCTCGCTACTTATATCTAACTTCAAGAAGCTCCGACGCCGATACCGAAGGCGTCGGAGCTTCAGATGGTGCCCCGAAAAACATTCAAACAGCGGGTTGGGCGACATTATCTCAAAATATGCAAAGGGAGTAATTACAATTTTGACTTACTAGGTTGCTCGACTCCTCCGGGCATCTATCTGGCAACTTGAAATTATAATTTGAAGAAGCCTTCGATTGGATAAAGGGGTAGATTCTTCGTCCTACCCAGACGATTTTCCATGTTGTATCGTCGACGAATAGAAAGTACGCATGCGCGGTAAAAGAATCACCCCCTTTTTCCAATCGAAGACTCCTTCAAATTATAATTTCAAGTTGCCAGATAGATGCCCGGAGGAGTCGAGCAACCTAGTAAGTCAAAATTGTAATTATTTCTTTGCATATTTTGAGATAATGTCGCCCAACCCGCTGTTTGAATGTGTTTTTCGGGGCACCACCTGAAGCTCCGACGCCTTCGGCATCGGCGTCGTAGCTTCCTAGAGTTAACTTATATCATTCTATTATATTCACCATTGTGTAAAACAGCCTGCAAGCTGATCAATGTTATCCTATTAAAAGATGTTTTAATAAATAAATAAATGAATAAATAAATAAAACAATAACCGAACAATTTGTTTATTATTGGAAATAATGGCGATAGTATTAGTAGGGACTTTTAGATTTGCGTGGACTGATACGTGTGACGTCCATTCAAGGCAGTGCATTAAAAGGACGTCGATCGTAGCAATCCACGTTTTCGTTATGCAAATCTAAAAGCCCCTAATGAAACAAACTCTACGGCCCGCAATCTACTAGATATTAAACACGACGATGGGCTTAGGTTTTTCTTTAAAGGGCAAGTCCACTCCAAAAATAACTTACTTTCAATAGAAGCAGAAAAATCAGACAAACCAATCAAAAAAAAATGTTGAGCAAATCGGATAACTAGTAAGAAAATTATGAATTTTTGAGTATGTTAAACTATAGAACGATTAGAATCACAACACAAATTGCCAATATGGTTATCAGTTTGTAACGTCATGTCCTCACTATTTATCAATTGCTTTATACAGTTTAATTTCATTACTTTTTATCCCCCAAAACTTGATTTCCCCATGCCTTTGCCCAGGTTATATAATTGGTATCATATTGCGTGCATGATATTTCACAAAATCTTTTATGAGCTTTGAAGAATTGATACTATTTTCTGAATATTGTATATTCATAATTATTGATTTGTATATAAATAGTTTATCGAACTTCACATTTTTTATGATTTAACTGGAAACAATTACTCTATATTAGTGCATCCAAACAAAAACATAATTATACTATCAATCTAACTTGGATGCTGGTGTGAAGAAATTAGATTCTTAGGGAGAAAATAGGAAATTTATATTATCAATATAAAGAAAATAATTAGTGGATAGTAAGGACATGACGTTACAGACTCATGAGTGGTTGCCAATTTGTCTTGTGATTTTCAAAGTTTTTCATGTAATTAAGAGCTCATAACTTTCTTAATAGTTGTCAGATTTTGCTCAAACTTTTTTGATTGGTTTGTCTGATTGTTCTGCTTCTATTGAAAGTAAGTTATTTTTGGAGTTTAAAATCGGTTTAAAATCGGTTAAAAAGGAGGTTAGTATGAAGTCGACGCTTTTACTTTGGTAAACGTGATTTTAGACCCATGGTTGGAAAAATCTGAATCTTTTGAAAAAGGACCAAATTATCATCATTGCTGTTTTTATGAATATTTATTGTTAACCGATTGTTTTTCTATGTTATTGTTGGTTTTACAAATCTACTAATTCCTCAAATATTCCTTCAAAATTAGCATGTACCGACCAACACCGTAGCTGTGCCTTCTGGGCTGGATCCCGTGAGTGTGAAAAGAACCCGAACTACATGCTCGTGTACTGCGGGTTAAGCTGTGGAGTGTGCAAAGATTTCGGTAGGCAATAATGACAAAGAAGAACGCTCTTAAAACTTTCAAAATGAAGCAATTCAAATTCTTTTCAACTACTCAGGACTTCTTCAACATTCTCCTAATCGATTCCCCCATATTCTACCACCATAATTTTGGTATGAAATTTCAAACCGCTGGAGTGTTTTGTTACGCCACTTCTTTACAACCACTCAGAACTTCTTCAACATTCTTTTAATCGATTCCCCATTGTTCCACCATAATTTTAGTATGAAATTTCAAACCGCTAGTCCCCCCTCCCCGTACTTATTTTCCTAATTCCTTCTTTCTTTTCTTTTCTTTTGCATTGTTCTTTTACACTTCTAATTCCCTTTAATTGTAAGAATATGAAATATGAGAAAAATGTTCACAAATGGTTACTCGTAATCAAAATTCTTATGTTCGTTTGTATAACTATTGCGTTACATTAACACGATCAACTTCTCCTGTTTCTCATTATGATCCTTAATTAGGCAAAATGGATTTCATAAATGAATTCATACTAGAGTGTCTCTAATCGGAGTACTTTTTTTAGCAATATATACATGATAATATTCTCAAGTGGAAACTATGAAATAATCACCCAAAATAATCTTAGTGTGTATTATGCTTTTTCTCACCCTAGTTTGTCAGGATAACGACCCCAGATGTGAGGGATGGGCTGCTGAAGGCGAATGTGACCAAAACCCCTCCTGGATGCTTGAACACTGTCAAAAGAGTTGTGTCGCTTGTATCGACGGTGAGTGCTTATCCGGAACTTTCTCCAACGACAGTTGTCCCGGGGTTTATTTCGAGAGCTATAGGGTTAAGGTTAGGGTTAGGATTCGAATGGGTTTAAGGTCAAGTTTACGGTTTGGATCAACGATCTGATTGGGTTTTAAGGTTAGGGTTAGGTTTTTGATTGTTTTTAAGATCATGCTTAGGGTTAGGATCAGGGTTATTTTGTTGTAATATATTCGGTCCAAGGTTAACGTTTGGGATTCATTTAGTGTCAGGCCTTGGCCGCGGAGCGAAGGATTGGTTTGATATGATTTGATTTGATTTGATTGATTTTAAAAAGATATAGGCAAAGACATACATGATAACATGACAAAGAGTCGCCGGAGCACGTGTCGTACGACCCGGTGATTCTTGCGTTTAAACATACACCTAAACGTAGGATTTGATCAACCATTCACCGTCTGCATTTTCACAGAGCATAAGTGTAAATCAGTTTGCGATTAACGGTTTTAAGTACATTTGTTGGCTAAAGGGAACTTTGTACTCATACAATCCGCTATCCACTCTGTGATTACGATTTAGTATTTCAAGTAATTATATGCATCTTAATCGAAGCCACACAAAAAAAACTTACAACAACTGTGTGTAGCTTTTGTAGTGAAATTCAACAACTTAGGCAGAAAGTCTATGAATGGTTTCCTACATAAAAGTAATATGGATCAGATTGTATTTTATTACATATTGTGTGCTAACTGAAATCATTTTTGTGTTCCGATTGCAGACGAATGTTTCTCAAGTCCTTGTTTAAATGGAGGCTCGTGTACTGACGGAAATAGCTCGTACACATGCGCATGTCTGCCTGGCTTCGAAGGAGAGGACTGTGAAATAAGTAAGTATATACTCACTCTCAGGGCGATGAACAAGGTTGATTCCTGGGCCTTCTTATAAAAAGTTGCAATCAATCGCAAATCTTTATATGATCGGGCCCTGGAGAAGGTGAGCTTTCTCAGTTGGAAGAATATCAAAGGAGAAATTTATTTACATTTTTCAATTTCCTATTTATTACGGCCAATGTTAATATTACTTATGCGACTGGTGCTTTCAATATCTCGTGTCGAGCCTCAATAGCTTTTACCGATACACCATTTTTTATTAATTGTTTATACTTTCATACTATTCATAATTTCTTTAAGATTTGAATATGATTATGCCAATTTACATTAAATCTTTATATTTTATGTGTATAATACGCAATCTTTTATATTTGTATATATTGTGATGATGATGGAAATCAATGTAAATTAAAATACTGAAAAGAATAACTATTCAAATGTCAAATAACAAGAAAAATTTGATAAGTTTGGATCAAATGGGGAAGGAGAAACAGGTCTGAAAATGAAATATGAATTTACAAGACAACTGCCAACTCCCTCTCCCCTTCCCTTTCTATCTTCTATCCATTTTATTTCTCTCTATATTATTTGTTTCACCACTCGAATGGGGAGTAGCACTTTACCCCGCGCTCCCCTGTCACTACGCCAAATGTGGAGTAACATTAATGCTGATGAAATTTTCAATTTGCTTGATTTTGCAGACATTGACGAGTGTTCTAGCGCCCCCTGTATGAATGGTGGAACCTGCGTGGATGGGTTCAACAACGTAACTTGCAACTGTACTGATGATTATGAAGGAAATATGTGTGAGCATAGTAAGTAAATCATTTAAAGACCAATGTTCACTCTAAAAACAAATTTATTTTTAGTTATTTAAAAAAATCTAATGTTGATATACATCACTGATAATTTTTAATAAGGTCATGTTACGTTTGTCATTTGTGATAAGGTCATAATACATTAATTTGCTATATGTTTTATTTTGCAGAACTGATAAAGATAAGTTTTCTGGGGTCGTAAATTATCATAATTATTTTATTTTGTGTGGATCTTTTCCCCCTAAGATTACCCCGTTTGATTTATAACGGTAACAATGTTTATTCTCTCTCTCTCTCTCTTTCTCTCTTACCCTCCCTTTATCTCCCTTTCTCGCTATACCATGGTCATCTTTTTGTTGTTGATGGCTATACAAAATATTCACACATATTGTAATTCCTGTATATAATTCACTTTCATCCTTTTATGTAATATTACTATTTCGATACAAATTTCAGTGTTTACAATCAGAATCATATTTCTGCTGTTAATAATGTGCATTTTCGTTAATTTTGATTTCATAGGAGTTGACGAGTGCAGTGAAGCACCCTGTCTCAACGGGGCAACTTGTACATTGACAGACACACACTTTAACTGTACATGCGCGACAGGATTTGAGGGAGAAACGTGTGAAATAGGTAAGAAAATATTCAATTTTCGTTTAATCATGTTGTCCTTTAGTTTTGAATATGAAAATAAACTCGCTTGATCGGGCTAAATTCGTCAATAATTCATTATTTGTATTAGAATATTTTAATTTTCAGAGGATAGTAACGAATCATTTTGCATTTTTTTAACAGCATTTTCGTGAATAACGGACTTAATCTTTTGTATTATTACGTAGAGTATAGTTAATAGTGTAGAATCATATTTAGTTGGCGAATATTAGACAACTGCTTTTTTTCAGGGTATTATTCCCCCGACACGCCCTGGCAGCTGGAAGCCTTTTCAGCTTGCCACTTTTTAACTTTCTCTATAAATTCATGCTCTTCTATAAAAATAAAAAAAAATAATACTAGAACACTTTCATAATTTCATTACACGGTTATTCTCCTTTACTTGTGTGTACACTGTAAAGGTATGGACACTGCGTAGGTGCAGATACAGATCAGTAGCTCGTGTAAAGTGGGTTAGGATATGGCTATGTATCTCTTTGCTGTATAAGCTATGACGAATATTCTATTTAATATTTGTTAACGATTTTATTTTTCATCCTAAATATTCGCACAGATATCGATGAATGTACAGATTCGACGTGTTCAAACGGGGGCACATGTACCGATCAACCGGGTTATTTCGTTTGCAATTGCACCCAAGAATGGACGGGCGTAACGTGTGAACACGGTATGGTGCCAAAGAGCACATTTCTTAAGATTGTGTGATATTTGCCAAGTATTTTCCCAGGATGTAAACGAGAAGTCGATACAGTAAAGACATGAGAAGTGTTTTGTAAACAGGGCACTTTCTTTTTTTTTTTTTTGTATGTTTGTATGTTTGTTTGCTTGTTAGTTGTTATTTAACTGAGTGATTGCTAGATAATTGATACTTTGTTTACTTTTTCATATTGAGTTATGTTGGCAATAGCTTCACCAAACGTTTAATCAATTTATTTAAAGGGTCGAAATAGCGGATTCCCACAGAGGACTCTGATGAGCCAATTAAGCATGTCTTTCGTATTGCTTTATTTTGTTTCATAGATGCCCCATTTCTTCTTTATACATCATATAGAATAAAAACAATTTCCACAATCAAACTTGATTCATACGTAATAATAAAGCAGAAACCTTGTCGTAAACCCTTTATAGCTCCTAGTTCCGTAATTCATTTCCAACACCTCTAACTTGCGAGATTCCTATGTTCAGACCTAGTATAACACACTGGTGCCCGAACAAATTTTAATCATAAAAACATTGAATGTCATTTTAAACCCTGGAACCTTCAATCTGCTTCTAGTTGCACAAACAACCTCTTCTACCTTACCTAATTAACAGCGATACTGAAACAATATTGCCAAGCAATATATATTATGTAACTGTTATACCTTTAACATGACTCATTCTGTGACTGTTCCCTCTTTCTTTCTTTCTCTCTCTCTCTCTCTCTCTCTCTCTCTCTCTCTCTTTCTCCCCCTCCCCCCCCCCCCCTTTCCCTCTCTTTCTTTCTCTCTCTCTCTTTCCCTCTCTCTCTCTTTCTCCTCCTCTCTCTCTCCCCCTCTTTCCCCCTCTCTCTCTCTCTGCCTAAATGACGTGCGTCTAGGCACCGATCCTGAATTAATTTGTATGACTCATTGCTTTACTTTTATCTCCTCAAATCATCTCCAGATTTTAACGAGTGTCACAGCAACCCCTGTATCAATGGAGGCTCTTGTTTCCATGGCATCGGGCAAGCACTATACTTTTGTAATTGCCTGGATGGATGGGAAGGAACAAACTGCGAAGAAGGTAAGAAGGAGGAGGAGGAGCTGCTGTTCATTATTTTATAAGATCTTATCATACAGCATTAATTTTCTGGACGCGAGAAATTGTTTTGGCAGGAGGGGGGGGGGGTATTTAGGAATCGGTTCATGCACACGAGGCGTAATTTTATTGCGTCATTATCTGCGCTAATTAAATTTATGGAGGCAGTTAACGCATGCGTCAGTAATCCAAAGTAACACAGCACAAGCCGTTGACGTAGTCTTCCGTCATTTAAAGAATTGCCACGTGCAAGGCGTCATTCTAATTTTTGTCCTTTTTACAGTCCCTCTCTCTCTCAGGTTCCCTCTTTCATACTTGTTACTGACAGTTTTTTGAAGTAGTAGTAGTAGTAGTAGTAGACGAAGTAATAGTAGTTGACGTTCTCTTCGTCGTCGTCGTAGTAGTAGTCGTAGTGGGAAAGGTTCAATGTTTCTAGTTTTGTATATGTATATGTTAATATGTACAAGAAACGATGTAAAGTTCCTTCTTATCTGATACATGTATTAATATTTTCCCTTTTCCTTTCCACAGAGATCAACGAGTGCGCCGGCCTTCCCTGCCAAAATGGAGCGACTTGTATTGATGCTTTCAACGCCTTCAGCTGCGCATGCGTATACGGGTGGTCCGGCACAACATGCAATATCAGTAATATTTTGCTTCCATGGATTTCGCTATGTAGTTTTTAACATTTACTAGCCTATGAATATGCAGCTTAAAGAGATTGCTGAATACTTGTCATAACATTATTTGATTTAATAAACTGTATAGCAAGTGGAAATGGTTGATTATGTAATACATACGGAATTGATTTATACTTTGAAATTAGAAAATGATTAAAGTGAAACGAGATTGACTCATTTTTGTTAAGAATCGCATGCACTGCACACGGAAAACGCAAAGTTAAAAAGACGAATACTGGTTAACTTTTGAAATTTGTAGCCATCGTGATACATCTTTCCTTGAAGATATATTTTCGAAATTGAACCAAAATATATACAATTTCTAAAATCAATTACATTCAGCACTCAGGGATAGATTTATAAATAGCAAACATCAACCAATACAAAACATTGTGATTATATCCCTACATCAAAATAGACACTATTTTAATATTTTTCCTCCTCCTCTTCTTCTCCTCCTTCCTCTTTTCTCCTTCTCCTTCTTTTCCTTCTTATTCTTCTCCTTCTTCTTTTTCCTTTTCTTCTTTTTCTTGATTTGCAGATATTGACGAATGTGCAAGTGCCCCATGTGTTAACGGAGGGACGTGCATTGACTACATAAATCGTTATGACTGCCTGTGCGAAGTAGGACTTGGTGGTTTCAATTGTGAAATAGGTATGCAACTTCGATCTTAATAGCTCGTTTGTTTGATTATTTTGTATTAATTCATCTTCTTCTATTTATCAAATATTCACAGCTTTAAAAAAAAACAGGAAAATACTTCGAAAACAGTAAATACCGCACAGTGAACACAGAGCCCTCATCGTTCAAAGCAAAGCAGTGTGTACATATGCATTTCCTGGTGAAAGTCAAACTTTATGATTTTTGAATAAAATAATGCTGTTTCTCAATCATCCTCAAAATCCTCGAAAGTCAGAATGCTTGTAAATCAAAATACCTTTCAAATGACAAGCTTTTGAAATAAATATATCCTCAGCACTATTTTCTTTCAAAAATGATTTATGAATAGCAGGTTGACTTTCCCCATGTCTTTTGTACACACTGCCTGGCGATGAGGGCTCTATATATTCACCATGTGATATTCGCCGTTTCTGAAGTCTTTGTTCTCTGTGTTTCAAAAGTTGCGTCTGACTGTTTTGGGGGGCACTGCATGTATTTAATGACACGCTATGTTTAGAGACCATGTTTTCATTGTTCCTCTCCAATACAGCTCACTTGGTATACATTGCGGTGTCACGGCAGTGTAATTTTTGTCAGATAAGAAGTTGTTCCTTTCCTCAACCTGCAACCATTTAGTTTAGTCAAGCATGAATCTCAGCTTGGTTCCTAAAGTGTTTGTTCTTGTTTTATTTTGGGGTTCATTCTATGTCTTATCATGCAACTGGCGCGTGTCCTCTATGAAACCCAATTTTGCATACCGTAAATACTAAAGATATGTGCCCCACAAATGTGTACTTGCCCCTCCCCCATCCCCTCCCCACTCCATCACTCAAATTCGGCATCTGCATAATTGATGACCTTTTCGGAGGTTGGAAGATATTTTTCGGAGTTGTGGCTCCCCTTTAAAAAATATTCGATCTGTCTACCTCTGTCAGTCATGATTACATGAACATTCCATTGTATGTTGATGAGGCTCATAACCATGGTTACTTGCGGATGAGAGTGTGGCTTAGACTGATGATGACGATGATGAGTAAGAGTATCAATTTACCACCTTGACTTTCACCCAAAATCCGAGCATTTTTCCCTTTTTAAAGGTGAAATACAAATAGAACATGATGAGACTGATTTAGTCATCTTTACGTAACTCATCCGTATTTATGTATTATCTATGAAATTTAACCTTAACGAGTCAGTGTCCCTCTTCGCGATGCGTTTCATATCATGTGTGCGTCAGGATATGACGTCATTGATCACGTGTCGGATGATCTGGTGCAAAAGTGTCTTGGCATGCAGCGTCAAGGTTCTTATACCAAAAGAAAAAAGTCAGGAGGGAGCCCAGGATTTGGCAACAATTCAGGTTTTGACAGAAGTGATTCATAGCCTGGTCACTTGTATTCTTTTGTCTTTTTTCTTTTTTTCTCCTCCCCCGCCCCCCTCCTCTTATTTGTTTACTTCTGAAAAGGAATTATAAACTATAGTTTCGAAGATTAACATCCATAAACGTCTGTCAGGCTGAGAGGTGACACTGGTGTTCTCCATTTAAGAATATGAAGAATGCTTTCATTTATGAAGAATTACAAACTTAAAAGGGTTAGATTTGCCAATGATTTGTATCAACATTCCAGTTTCAAAATATCGCCTTTGTATATGCTTGGTCAACCCACTATCCCTATATACATCTATACATATAATTTAGGCTTAGTTTTGTCACGTGGTGCATGAAAGAAAAGCAACCATCAAATAAAAAGGCACTGACCGGATTTGAACCAGGGATCTCCTGTTTACTTTTACCAACTAAGCCATTAGTTTGAAATGCTTTCTAATCAAATTTCTATTTTTCATAACGACTATGTTAAAGAGATGAGACTATAAGTCAGTAATATTTTCCAATTGAGATATACACTTCATGACCATCTTTAAAGCACTTTCAGTGCAAAGTTGCTGGCACATTGGGGATCAAGTTTGCTGAAAAAATAACGAGCCAAATTGTTGGCAACCCTCTCCCCCCCCCCCCCCCTCTCTCTCTCTCTCTCTCTCTCTCTCTCTGTCTGTCTGTCTCTCTCTCTCTCTCTCTCTCTCTCTCTCTCTTTATACGTTTTCCTTCTGCAATTTTATGGAGCACAGGTGCCCTCTGAGCCTCCGCGTTACTAAGCCAAACGAATTTACCTCTACGTTAAAGCATATTTTTACTAACTTTTCCTTGTGGTAAATCACGACTTTACGCCAAGCTGTCAAAGTAATTTCCTTCATGAAGAATTGACCTATACCTTGTCAGACTCAATTACACAAGACAACGTCTCCAAGACCTCCAAGGGCAACTTCCTCAAGATTTCAAAGACACTTGGTGTAACTTTGGTGTAACAGTGCATGGATCACAAGAGGGTTTGGTTTAGAAGTCATTCCCCTCCAATCGAAAAGTCTGTCAGCAAAAGTGAAATTTTCGATCATTTTCGAGTAATTGCAATTAAAATGATGACCCCTCTTGCGTGCTTGCTTGCTTGTTGGGATTACCTTGGATATCGATGTTTGTTGATAAACTTGATCATCATTTATAACCTTTTCTGCAATATGTTCACCTCTTTCCTTCCTTTATCAATTTTGCTGAAAATGTTCGACTAATCTGTAGGCAAGCTCTTCCCCCCCCCCCCCCCCCCTCTCGACTATCAGTCTGGTCTAGCATTGCTTCTGGTAGGGTAAAAACATTCTGAATTATCGGATCCGATCCCTATGTATCTATTGATACCTTCATCGTACTTAATATTTGCTGTCAGCGATCGCTTCGTTGTTAATCTTAAAAGATTCAGAATAACAAATCCTGCCTGTAGATATGATCCGATCACGACACGAGATGGCTTACCAAACCGGCTAATGGGGAAGGAAATTGGACGCAATAACTCGTGTTCATAGATCCGTCGCCGCAGTAGGTATTTATAGATGTTAAGCTCACAAAATCCCTGGACTAATTCCAACTGCTTTCTGGACAGGTGCGCAAAGCCAGCTCTTCCTCGCTGCTCGGAAATCGGGGTTTCGCTTGGCTCTGGCCCTGCCCCAGGCCAAATCAAACCTCGGAATATGGATTTGAACGAAGCGTTGGTTAAGCTAAACGCTTCCCCGAGATTATGAATAGGTGGAATAACAAAATCATACAGATTATTGCAAAGCAACGGACTATTCAACCTGTAAACAGTCAAGACCTGTATTATATATCTTGCTCCATATCATATCGAAAATATCATGTGTAAAAACAAAATGGCCTAGTTGAATGGTTCGAGCACTTAAAGGGAAATTCTGATCTTAATAGATAGTTGGCCTGAAAGAAAGCAGGACATCAGAGAGAATAGATTAGTGAAACTTAACGACAGGGAAAAATAGACAAATCATGATATTAGTACACAAATAGTAGTCCTTAGTTACGTAATAGTCAAATTAAAATTATCGTTTGTACTCATCCATCGGGGAAGCTAAAGAATATCATTATTTCCCTATTGTAAACATGATTATAACTTCATTTATACAGACTACTTAACACTGGTTTGACTTCATACCGTTTTGAAACCTACACTGTAAAAACTGAAATGTTAAATCACCATTTAAAAGGGCCGAGGAGTGACCATTCTTTTAAAATGGTGGATTAACACTTTGAACATGCTCGATCCAACACTATAAAGGTTAAATCTAGCAGGTTAAAAGTTACAATCTGACATTTTGAAAGAGTGGTCACTCCTCGGCCCTTTTAAATTGAGATTTAACATTTTAGTTTTTAGAGTGTACTTAACTTCCCTTGGGAAATATTAATATGGATTATTATTATGACATAAAATGTCAAGTCACAGACTTGGCACTCAAGGTTAAAAGCCTGTTATTAATCAGTGTATTTTCAGTGTTATATTTGAAGAATTTCCAAGAGCCTGTGTTGGCCTTGCTATCTGTAAGGTTAATAAAGGAGTTTCAACAGTGACTAATGGTCACAAATAGAGTCCAAAAACATTTCTAGAAAATATTGGTCTATTTCCAGTATTGGCATTATTCATCGGATGGCAAAGAACCTTGCGGCTTCGAAACCAGACCTTATCAGTATGCACAGGCGAGCTTTTGGTTTTGGGTTGTCCTATATCGCCCTCTTTTGCTATACAGCTAAGCAGCAATCCGTTGTTAACGGAGTATAATGACAAGAAAAATTCTTTCCAGTGTGTGAGCACCTAATCGTGAACATATTTTGAAGAAGAAAAAAAATCATCTCGGTCTAGTTGTCTTTATATTATGTGGACTTAATATGTTATATTTACCTATCAGTAACTGTCTCTGTAATAATGAACACTTCTCATGAAGTGAAGTTTAAAATTACAAAAAAAGTAATTATCTGTTTAAGATTGGGATGATCATCAGCAAATTTTTGAAGAAATTATTCTCTCTCACTTCTTTTGGGCTGTTTAGTTATTGTATTTGCTTAAGTAGGATGTCATATAATGATAATCGTTTCTCTATAATTCTCTTCACCAACACTGCTTAAAACTAAAAGTCATATTACTTTTTCTGATATTCGTGGATTAAATCCAGGCCTTGTTTAATCATGTTTAATCAGTCTTGGAGTTGGACAAGAGATTTAAAGAAAGGAAACATGGACAATTTCATTAAAGGGGTGAGGTTCCCTTTTGTAATAAAAGTATTGCGCCATGTAGTGTTTTAAAAGTTAAGACAAATGACAGAGGAACGAAGGAACGGGGGACTTCTTGTATGCAGGAAAATTTAAGTTCGATGGAAAAAGGTCCCCTTATCGTAATTAAATCAAGAGCTAGTACAGGTGTATTCCTTTTCATTTATTTTGTCTGCTATTTCGAAAGACTGGACATGCCCAGAAATACATTTTTCTCCAGAGTTTTCTCGGTGACGTCACCTCTCCTCTAGGCAAGCACATCCGTTGCGAATATCCTCCAACCCGTTTCTTAAAGCACATTCACACAGCCAGACTAAACAAATCATGAAGAATGAGC